AAAAATCCAGCTCCTGGATTTACTGATTTTTTGAAGGGTTTTTTGTGTCTCTCTCTTCTTCTGTTCTGCTCTGATCTTAGTTATTTCTTGTCTTCTGCTAGCTTTTGAGTTTTTTTGATCTTGATCCTCTAGCTCTTTCAGTTTTGATGATAGGGTATCAATTTTCGATCTTTCCTCGCTTCTCTGGTGGGCATTTATTGCTATACATTTCCCTCTAGACACTGCTTTAAATGTGTCCCAGAGATTCTGGTACATTGTGTCTTCATTCTTGTTGGTTTCGAAGAACATCTTTATTTCTGCCTTCATTTCATTGTTTATCCAGTCAACATTCAGGAGCCAGTTGTTCAGTTTCCATGAAGTTGTGTGGTTCTGATTTAGTTTCTGAATTCTGAGTTCTAATTTGATTGCACTGTGGCCTGAGAGACTGTTTGTTATTATTTGCATTCTTTTGCATTTGCTGAGGAGTGATTTACTTCCAATTATGTGGTCAATTGTAGAGTAGGTGCCAGGCGGTGCTGAGAAGAATGTATATTCTGTGGATTTGGGGTAGAGATTTCCGTAGATGTCTGTTAGGTCCACTTGGTCCAGATCTGCATTCAAGTCCTGAATTTCCTTGTTGATTTTCTGTCTCGTTGATCTGTCTAATATTACAGTGGAGTGTTAAAGTCTCCCACTATTATTTTGTGGGAATCTAAGTCTCTTTGTAGGTCATTAAGAACTTGCTTTATGTACCTGGGTGCTCCTGTATTGGGTGCATATATATTTAGGAGAGTTAGTTCTTCTTGATGCATTGATCCTTTTACCATTATGTAATGCCTTTCTTTGTCTCTTTTGATCTTTCTTGGTTTAAAGTCCATTTTATCAGAGACTAGGATTGCAACTCCTGCTTTTTTTTTGCTCTCCATTTGCTCGATAAATCTTCCTCCATCTCTTTATTTTTAGCCTATGTGTGTCCTTGCACGTGAGATGGGTTTCCTGAATACAACACACTGAGGGGTTTTGACTTTTTATCCAATTTACCAGTCTGTGTCTTTTGACTGGAGCATTTAGTCCATTTACATTTAAGGTTAATATTGTTATGTGTGAATTTGATCCTGCCATTTTGATGCTAGCTGGTTGTTTTGCCCGTTAGTTGACACATTTTCTTCATTGTGTCAATGGTCTTTACCATTTGGTATGTTTTTGGAGTAGCTGGTACTGGTTGTTCCTTTCCTTGTTTAGTGCTTCTTTCAGGAGCTCTTGTAAGGCAGGCCTGTTTGCAATAAAATCTCTCAGCAATTGCCTGTCTAAAAAGGATTTTCTTTCTCCTTCACTTATGAAGCTTAGTTTGGCTGGATATGAAATTCTAGGATGAAAGTTCTTTTCTTTAAGGATGTTGAATATTGGCCCCCACTCTCTTCTTGCTTGTTGGGTTTCTGTGGAGAGATCTGATGTGAATTTGATGGGCTTCCCTTTGTGGTTAACCCAACGTTTCTCTCTTGCTGCCCTTAGCATTATTTCCTTCATTTCAACCCTGGTGAATCTGACAATTATGTGCCTTGTGGTTGCTCTTCTTGAGGAATATCTTTGTGGTATTCTCTGTATGTCCTGGACTTAAATTTTGGCCTGCCTTGCTAGGTTGGGGAAGTTCTCCTGGATTATATCCTGAAAAGTGTTTTCCAGCTTGTATTCATTCTCTCCATCACATTCAGGTACACCTATCAAACGTAGATTAGGTCTATTCACATAATCCCATATTTCTTGGAGGCTTTGCTCATTTCTTTTCACTCTTTTTTCTCTATTCTTGCCTTCTCATTTTATTTCATTGAGTTGATATTCAGTCTCTGATATCCTTTCTTTCTTCTGCTTGGTCGATTCAGCTATTGAAACTTTTGTATGCTTCGCAAAGTTCTCGTGCTATGTTTTTCAGCTCCATCAAGTCGTTTTTATTCTTCTCTAAGCTGTTTATTCTAGTTACCATCTCATCTAACCTTTTTTCTAGGTTCTTAGTTTCTTTGCACTGAGTTAGCACAAGTTCTTTTAGCTCTGAGAAGTTTGTTATTACCCACCTTCTGAAGCCTGTGTCTGCCAATTCATCAGATTCATTCTCCATCCATCTTTGATCCCTAGCTGGTGAGGAGTTGTGATCCCTTGGAGGAGGAGAAGCGTTCCGGTTTTTGGTGTTTTCATCCTTTTTGCTCTGGTTTCTTCCCATCTTTGTGGCTTTATCTACCTGTGGTCTTTGTAGTTGGTGACTTTCAGATGGGGTCTCTAAGTGGACGTCCTTTTTGTTGATGTTGAAGCTATTTATTTCTGCTTCTTAGTTTTCCTTCTAACGGTCAGGCCCCTCTGCTGCATGACCACTGGAGGTCCACTCCAGACCCTGCTTGCCTGGAGATCACCTGCAGGGGATGCAGAACAGCAAGGGTTGCCACCAGTTTCTTCCTCTGCTATCCCCGCCAGTTTACGGGTGTTGGTGAGTTGCTTGAGGAGACAGTGTGTCCCTTATAGGAGCTCAAGTGGTGTGCTGGGAGCTCCGTTGTTCTGTGCAGAGCTGCTGGGCAGGTACCTTTAAGTCTGCTGCAGCTGAGCTCATAACCACCTCTTTTCCCAGGTGCCCTGCCCTAGAAAGGTCAGCTTTATTTGTAAGTTCCTGTCGTGCTGCTGCCTTTTTTCATAGATGCCCTGCCCCACATGGAGTAGTCTAGTCACAGTCTGCCAGCAGAGGTGTTGCTGAGCTGCCACACGCTCTGTCCAACTGCTGTGTGAAGTGTCTCTGTAGTGGCAGACTGCCTCAGTAGTGGTTATTGCCCTTCCCCCTGCTAAGCTGGACCGTCCTGGGTCCAGCTGTGCTTGCTGTGAAACTCTCAATCCAGAACGTTTCAGATTGCTTGTTTTGTGTGGGGGTGGTACCCACTGAGCCAGATCGCCTGGCTTCCTGTTTTAGCCACCCCCCTTTCAGTTGAATGGGTGGCTCTGTCTCCTAGGCATTCCAAGAGTCAGTTGAAATAGCCGCCCAGACTTGTGTGAGTTTCTGTGCACCAGCCAGGCACTGGCTGAAACCACTGTGCTGAAAACTCCTGGTACTTTTCGGCCCGAGAATCTCCTGGTCTGTGGGCAGTGAAAACTTGTTTGGAAATGTGGTGAGCACTCACCATCTGCACTGTTCTCACTGGGAACTGCACTCCGGAGCTGTTCCTATTTGGCCATCTTCTGTTGTTGTTGTCTTTATTGACTTGTTGACCTGTTATTGGTTCATTTGTCCTGTTGTTGCATTGTTGTTATTACTCATCACTGTATTTCCTTCTTACTTTTTCACAAGGTGGCTCACTTGGTCCTCAAGGCTCATGCCAGAACCTGGCACCACTACAACAAGCACCATCGCCCACAGCAGCAGGGGCATGTGGGCATTGTGCTGAACTCAGACTGGGCAGAACCCCTGTCTCCAGAGAGGCCTGAGGACCTGAGAGCCTCTGAGCGCTACTTGCACTTCATGCTGGGCTGGTTTGCACACCCCATCTTTGTGGATGGAGACTACCCAGCCACCCTGAAGACCCAGATTCAACAGGTGAACAGACAGTGCCCCCATCCTGTGGCACAACTCCCCGAGTTCACAGAGGCAGAGAAGCAGCTCCTGAAAGGCTCCGCTGATTTTTTGGGTCTGTCTCATTATACCTCCCGCCTCATCAGCAATGCCCCACAAAGCACCTGCATCCCTAGCTACAATACCATCGGAGGCTTCTCCCAACATGTGAACCATGCATGGCCCCAGACCTCATCCACTTGGATTCGTGTGGTGCCCTGGGGGATAAGAAGGCTGTTGAAGTTTGTATCCCTGGAATATACAAGAGGAGAAGTTCCAATATACCTGGCCGGGAATGGCATGCCCATAGGGGAAAGTGAAGATCTCTTTGATGATTCCTTGAGAGTAGATTACTTCAATCAATATATCAATGAGGTGCTCAAGGGTAAGAACAATGGATATGCCAGTGATTGGAGGGTGGGTGGTACTTCTCCAAGTCTTCACAATTTTTTTAATGGTACAAAAAAAGTCTCCTAGGGAAATGGAGCCAAGGAAAGCATTTTTGGTAGTAATAATGGGGAGTCCTTCATATTAGCTTCCTAACTCTCTTTCCCAAAGGTTCATTCCTATCATTCACTTCTTTGCTTCTGTGGTTGTTTTGTTTTGTTTTTGGGATAGGGTCTTGTTGTGTTGCCCGGCTAGAAAGCTGGAATGCAGTGGCATAAACATGGCTCACTGCAGCCTCAAACTCCTAAGCTCAAGCCATCCTCCCTCCCACCTCAACCTCTTGAGTAGCTGGGACCACAGTGTACATCACTATGCCTGGCTTTTTCTTTTTAGACATGGGATCTCTTCACATTGCCCGGGCTGGTCTCAAACTCCTGGGCTCAAGCAATCTCACTTTATCCTCCCAAAGTGTTGGAATTACATGCATGAGCCACCATGCCTGACCCAGTGTCCTTATTGCCTCCCTTCTACATTCTGTCCATCTGAATCCCATGCAGTCATCAAGCCTCATCATATATATGTATATGTATGTGTGTGTATATATATATATACACACACACATACACACACACACACTTTTTTTAAGAGTCTGGGTCTTGCTCTGTCACACAGGCTGGAATAGAATGGCATGTTCATAGCCCACTGCAGCCTCAAACTCCTAGGCTCAAGTGCTCCTCCCAACTCCAACCTATTAACTCTTCCCTCATTGCTCCAGCCACACTCGTCTTCATTTCCTTTAATTGGCTGCAAAATCTATATTCTATGTCATTGATTTTGATCCAGTTGATCCACATCTATGGCCTCATTCTTACCTAAAATACTATTTCATGTGTCTTTTTATTCTAATTGGAAAGGTATGGCAAATAGGTTTCATTTCACAGGTCAGTCCTCAGTTAATCCAGGATGTTCTCATCTTGAGATCATTCACTTAATTACGTCCGCAAAGATTCTTTTTCCAAATAAGGTTATATTCACTGGTATCAAGGGTTAGAATTTAGACATATCCTTTTTTTTTTTTTTTTTTTTTTTTTTTT